TGAGTTACCTTCCAGTAGAGGTGGGTCTACGACCACAATGCCGGCCCACCAGCAGGGATTGTCGTTAGATGATTGTCCGTGTGATAATTATCTAGGTTGCTATTATTAGATGTGCTTTATGTGCCAGTATGATATGTTGTATGTGATAGCGGTAGTAGGAGGGAATAGTCCCCCGCCTCGGTCGTTAGGACCGAAGGGTAGGTCAGTACCCCAAGAATGCTTGACAGTATGATTATGACAGCATGATTATGATAGTATGATTATGAGTTGCTAGTAGTAGGGGGTGAAATAGTCCCCCGTTGCCGGTTGAGATAGACCGGAGGGTAGGTCAGCACCCCAGAACTTCTTGACATGGGTTGGTCAGCACCCCAGAACTGCTTGACACGGGTTGGTCAGCACCCCAGAACTGCTTGACATGGGTTGGTCGGGCTCCCCAGAATTGCCCGACAGTATGTATGTTGTTCGGTATGTGGTATGATGGGGGAACTCACTAAGCTTTGTGCTTACAGTTTTCAGTTTTGGTTTCAGGTACCTCTTCGTCTAAGGGGAAGGAGCCGGCAGGGTAGCAACGCATCGCAAACACATGATTCCGCATTTTAGAATTCTGGGATTGTACTCTGACATTATTACTATTTGACACTATGGGTTTTGAGACATGTGACTATGGTTTATGAACTAATGTGATATCAACAATATTTTCGTCAACCAAATTTTATAAGCATTATAATTAAAACAAAAATTTTTGGTCTCGATTTTTGGATGTTACAAACATTCTAGTGCCAATTTATATACATACATATTCATATACAAACACATACACCTGTACACATACATATATTCACATACACACATACACTCATTCAAATAAACATAGAGATTCACATACGTATACACATACATGTTCATACACACATACACATACAAATACACATACACATTCATATACATACACATACACATACACATATGCATACAAGTACACATCTTGATGGTGTATACGGTTGTATGCACTATATACATACACACATACATATATACATACACATACATATATACATACACATACATAAACATTCATATACACGCCTATATATACATATATATATTTTTAACATAAATTTGAAGAAAAAAGACATTTTCTAAATAGGAAAAATACGAAATAATAATAATAATAATAATAATAATAATAATAATAATAATAATTTTAAAAATAATATTTTGATTATTTTGTTTCCGTCGGAAATCCGTAGGTAGTTTCCTACGATTGAAAAAGACAAATTACCCGCCCTCAAACATTCGCTAGGTTTTAATTTTTCGTTTCCCCGGAAAATAAATCACAATTAGCCCTAAATTGATCTTTCATGATCTCCCCAAATCGATGGAAGCGCTTCACCTTCGTTTTGCCGTCGCTTGTAACCCTCGTCGGTCCAACTCTCCGCCGCCATCGATTGAGGAAAACGTCTCTGTTACTGCTCCACCACCGAAGCTGGGCCAGAAATCTTCATCATTCCTAGGTTTTTCTCTCGGTATCTCTCTCGATTACAGCCATCCCCTTCGCTTCCTTTTCCCCATCTCTTACGTCGCCCCTCTTTCTTCTTCGGCTTTCTCATCTGCCATTGCCATAATCGATTCAACATCTACCACCGGCGGCACGACACAGGACTCTGGCAAAATAAACAGCTGAAGCCGACGACACCCACTGTAGACTCCTTCGTCACACAAAGAAGACACAAGTAAGAACTCTTGAATCCTCCTCTTTTTAACATTCTTTGATATCAGATTTTTAGTTATGATTTCTGAGGTTGTCTTGTGTAATTTACGTTTTTTTGTATGATTCTAACATGTCTTCTTCTTGTTTTTGCTCTATGACATGATATGGTTCCATTTTTTCTATAATTTCTTTTTATTATTTTTTCATTTTTGGAGTTTTGGTTGAAAGATGATTGTGTAAATTATGATTTATATGCATGTCTTATGTAAATTATGGTTTTATGAGGTTGTTTTTAGCTATAATTATGATTCATACATCCACATAGTTGTTTATGAGTTCATTTCTGTGATAACCAAGCTTGTTTATGTTTTTTGTGCATACATTGACAACATTGCTTATCCATCACTAGTATTATACTTTGGAAATCAATCCAACAAGGTATGTCTTACATAAAACAATGTTGGAAGATGAAGAGATGAAAGTATAATGTTGTAATAAACAAAAAAATAGAAGTTCTTTGATGTATTTAACTGTATAAATATGATTGTAGGTTTATTTGTCATTTAACACTCAATTTTTTTCACCATTTCGATGTTTCCCCATAAATAAATTTGCTCTTTTTGTTTTCATGATTCTAAGCTCATCTTTTTGTTTGTCCGCTCAAGTTTTAAGTAATCAAATTGCACAGATTAAAGAATCCTTTTTTCTTTCTCCAATCATTTTCTTATCTTCTTGGTGCCTGTTCTTCGTGTTTTCTTTTTCCTTCTTATCTTTTTGTTTGTCTACCACATGCTTGTATAATGTTATTTTCTATATTTTAGAAACAACATACTTGTAAAATGTAAGAAATAGCATTGTACTTTTAATTGAAAGTTATTTATTTTCAGTAAACTGCAGGAAATAACAACATACTTTCTCTTTTTTACCAATGTGGGCAATGTGTTTTGATTTTTATTATCCTATAATGGATTAAAAGTAACATACATTGCTATTATTATCTAAAAGTAAAGTACGTTGCTATCGTGGTTTAAAAATAAAGTACATTTACTAATTATATATGTTTATCTTACCATTTTCCAGGTGTAGGAGTTGCAGGAATGAGTTCAAAGACATTACAAGTAGAAATGCAACGAAGACAAACACAACTTGAAAAGCAATTGACGGTTTTTATGTGAGAATTCATTAACCACCAAGTGATTCTTAGTTTTTATGTTTTAAACACTTAGTAATGTTATTGACACTTTGAATGTATAGATGATGTTTATTGTAATATTTATTTTTGGAAAATGTTGTTTTTAGTAATATATTAAACATTTAGTAATGTATTTGACATTTGTAGTTTAATATAATGAACTTTTACTTCATTTTGGCCATAATTAATTGTTTTTTTTAAATACTATTTTAAAAAAAAAAGACATTTACTGACGGAATTCCATCGGTTATGTGGGCCGTCGGAAATCCATAGGTGATAAAGTCAATGTTAGTCAAAGTGGGGCCCGTCGGTAATCCGTAGCTATTTCGTCGGTAATTTACCGACGAATAATTTTGTCGGTATTCCATAGCTATTTTGTAGCTATTCCGTCAGAAATATTTACCCACGAGCGTTTATGCTACGGCCCATTTTCCGTCGCAATTCCGTATGTATCGCCCTATACCTACGGAATACCTATGGATTGTGCCGTAGCCCGTAGGTATAATCAGATTTTCTAGTAGTGCCAAGTCTTCTTCCAACACGTCCTAATGGCTTTTGATCAATTAGGGGTTCGCTAGGAAGAGAGTCGTATTATGTGTTGGTATATAACTGGGAACCCTCACCATGAGTACATAGTGAATTATGGTTCCCATTAAACCCTAATAAAATACTAATAATTAATTATTTGTATTCTAGCATACATCCAATCGGAAAACAATTGACAAACATACCTCCGCCACCACTATTCCGGAAACCGTCAGAGCCAATCACATAGGGGTAAAACTCAAAATTAGATAAGTGGATAATATTATGATCCAATCCACGGATATGATGCTCATTATCCAACTGATATGAAACTACCACAACCTATCTTCCTTCCTCTTTGGGACCCCGTAGTTGTCCCACACGTAACGTTGGCTCCACCTGGTTCTCAACTTGCCCTTCTTTGTTTTGGTCAATGATGATCCTTGCATCGTTTTCAGCATTAACTGCTCAACAAATGACTGGTTTACAAACTGCTGTCCGTTGGCAGATATTTTTGCCATAAACAATCAAAATCTAATTGGTTGAAACGTACACTAAATAAATGAGATCTAAGTTGATGTTCTTTTAAGATGTTGTGCGTCGGCCAATCAGGACTCTCTTAACTGATTGAAGTTTTGTCTAGTATAACTCAAAGAAATTCAAACTTTGCGCTTATATTTTATTCAGTATTTTATTAAGTATATGATATGATTAATGGGTTTCTTTTTTGAATTTTTTTTGGCCAATGTAGCTCTAACTAAATCACTGAAGTTGATATTATTAACATATCTAAATTTAATTAAAACTTTACAATTTATTTCTTAAAATTAACAAGCCATTATTCAATCGGGACGATAATTTATTTTATACCGAAAGTTACTTGGTATTATTCCTTCAGATTAATTACGTACTAAAGACACAAACGTATGAGAAGTGCTGTCCAGAAATATATGAATGTATGAGAACTCATATACCAATTTGAGAATCAATTTTTAGGGTTAAGGTTAACCTATTCGATAAATCTATATTTTTTGAAATTTACTACAAGAAAATTTTTACTGAGGAATTACTTATTTGTTATGTTAGAAAGTTGAGTACTGTTTAACACATTACATTTTCGACAAAAAATATCAAAATCGTGAAGAACAGAAATATATTAATCAAATTAGTTAGATTTATAATACGTTGTGCAAATACATTATTTATATAGTTTGTATATGAAGCCCTAATTTTCACAACCACATACTCCTCATTTTCTCCTGGCTACAATAATCTCTACATTAGTTGTTTGTTTCTACACATTAATTAATCTAACAGGTAACAATCATCCACAACGAAAAAAAAAAACTTAAAACTATTCCACTAAAAATGTATCTTTCTATAAATAGTAAGCATAATTCAATAATCACTCGTAATGACACAATCTCAACCAATCATTTGTAATTTAGCCACCCAATTCCGATAGATTGATGAGGCTATACCTTGTGTTCCACTATTTGTTATATCTCACTAATTCTTTTTCTTTCGTTGTGCTTCTCTCAAGGGGAAATATCTTCTTTAGCACCTCTTCCTATGGAGGCAAGGTCCTAATTCCTTGTAGCCCCTTGACTCATCCATTCATGGTTGATCAAACCATGAATGTCTTGTGAGTCTTGATATATCTTCTTTGTTTCTAATCTTTTGGATTTTGATAAATCTGAAAGGAAGGAATTAAAATCAGCTTAAACATGGAGAACAAGAAGATTTTGATGCAACGATACGAAATAGGAAAATTGCTCGGACAGGGCACATTTGCAAAGGTCTATCATGCCCGAAAACTGAAAACCAAAAAAAGTGTTGCAGTGAAGGTGATTGAGAAAGGTAAGGTTATGGAAAACAACTTGATTGACCAAATCAAACGAGAAATCTCTACAATGAGGCTTGTTAGGCATCCAAATGTTGTTCAACTTTATGAGGTCATGGCTAGCAAGACTAAGATTTATTTTGCCATGGAATATGTTAAAGGTGGTGAGCTTTTCAATAAGATTGCAAAAGGGAGGTTGAAAGAGGAAGCCGCTAGAAAATATTTCCAACAATTAATCGCAGCTGTTGATTATTGCCATAGCCGAGGTGTCTATCATCGTGACCTAAAGCCAGAAAACCTCCTTCTAGATGAATCTGGCAACCTTAAAGTTACAGATTTTGGATTAAGCGCTTTGGTTGATAGTAAAAGGAATGATGGTCTTTTGCATACAACATGTGGAACACCTGCTTATGTTGCACCTGAGGTTATTCACAAGAAAGGTTATGATGGCGAAAAGGCAGATATTTGGTCATGTGGGGTGATCTTATTTGTTTTGCTTGCAGGTTATCTTCCATTTAATGATCCTAATTTAATGGGAATGTACAGGAAAATAAGTAAAGGGGAATTCAAATGTCCATCTTGGTTCCCTCCTGAGGTCAAGAAATTGCTTTCAAGAATTCTTGACCCTAATCCAAACACAAGGATGACGTTAGACAAAATCATGGAAAATCCTTGGTTTCAAAAGGGATTCAAAAAGATTGAGACCCACTATATTCCAAAAGGTTTTCTTGATTCCGAAGAGGTGTTCAAATATATAGATAGTCCAAAGTGTAGTTGTACTGATCTTAAAGGACTCGAAGAGAGATCACTCACAAAAAGTTCCTCTAATTTGAGTTCTTTGAAGCCTACGAGTATGAATGCTTTTGATATCATTACGCTTTCTCAAGAGTTCAATCTCTCTGGTTTATTTGAGAACAATGTTCCAAGTAAGAAATCTGAGGCCCGTTTCACGACCAAAGAATCAGCATCAGCGATTGTGTCTAAACTGGAAGAAGTGGCTTCAGTGGAGCAGTTTCAGATTACGACAATGGCAGATGGAACAGTAAGGATGCAAGGGTGCAAAGAAGGGAGAAAAGGGCAATTGGCCATTGATGCTGAGATATTTCAAGTAACACCCTCCATTCACGTGGTGGAGGTAAAGAAATTGGCCGGCGACACCATAGAATATGAAAGATTCCGGGATCAAGGATTGAAGCCCAAATTAAAAGACATAGTTTGGACATGGCAGGGTGAGCAACAAACAACAGAAACAAGTACCTCAGACCAATCATGATGAACACAAGTTTGATTTAGCCTTTATCCAATAAATGAATACACATCTGCATGAGGTTGTACGTCTGTGCAAATGTAGAATTTGAATTGGAAAAGTTGCAATGCTGATTTAAAATCATGGGACGCCATTTGTTTAGATGATGATGAATTAATGCAATTATATAATCCTTCTGTTTTTTAATTATCACAATTAATTATTTCAGTTGAACAATTTATACCCAAGTAAACATAATTATTTCTCCGCGGCTTATTTACTTTTTGTGCCAACGATGTGACCTTTTTACTTTTTGTGCCAACCATTGAAGCAAAGTTAGCACATGGATGTGATATTTCCATTTAGCCTATTCGGTCTATTCGGTATGGACAACGGTGTTATGAAGTCAAGTATTGTCATCTCACATTTCGTCACATTTTAATATGTTATAACATGAAGGGTGCTATGTCATCATAATGGGAGTGGGTAGTTTTTTTGCCAATGGTAAAAGGGTGCCACATTGGCGGTACATAAGTTTTTACAAATTTTGCCACATTTTTCTCATGTTATTACATGTTAGAGAGAGAGAGAGAGAGAGAGAGAGAGAGAGAGAGAGAGAGAGAGAGAGAGAGAGAGAGAGAGAGAGAGAGAGAGAGAGAGAGAGAGAGAGAGAGAGAGAGAGAGAGAGTTTCATTGGGTGTTATCTCCTATTCCCGTTACCGCATCTCAATAACACCGCATCTAATAACACAAGGCTAGGGCGGTGCTCCAGCCGTTACCATTGCGTTTTTCGGGTGCTATGTCATCATAACGGGAGTGGGTAGTTTTTTTGCCAATGGTAAAAGGGTGCCACATTGGCGGCACATAAGTTTTTACAAAATTTGCCACACTTTACCTATGAATGGAGTGTGACGGTTTTTTTTACCAATGATATATATAGTGGTATTTATGTTACAAAAATTGCAATGACCAATCAGGAAATAAGAAAAGGTTTACCATTAAGATTTGTCATCGGTGGAAATTCACCTGTGAGATTTACCATTGGCAAAAAAAAAGGTTAGGGTATGATGTTCACCACCAGTAAAAGTGCCACATAGGCTTTTACCATCCATAAAAGTCTCCCACACCGTATAGCCTGAGAGAGAGAGAGAGAGTTTCATTGGGTGTTATCTCCTGTTCCCGTTACCACATCTCAATAACACCGCATCTAATAACACAAGGCTAGGGCGGTGCTCCAGCCGTTACCATTGCGTTTTTCGGGTGTTATGTCATCATAACGGGAGTGGGTAGTTTTTTTGCCAATGGTAAAAGGGTGCCACATTGGCGGCACATAAGTTTTTACAAAATTTGCCACACTTTACCTATGAATGCAGTGTGACGGTTTTTTTTACCAATGATATATATAGTGGTATTTATGTTACAAAAATTGCAATGACCAATCAGGAAATAAGAAAAGGTTTACCATTAAGATTTGTCATCGGTGGAAATTCACCTGTGAGATTTACCATTGGCAAAAAAAAAGGTTAGGGTATGATGTTCACCACCAGTAAAAGTGCCACATAGGCTTTTACCATCCATAAAAGTCTCCCACACCGTATAGCCTTAGAGATGTTATTAGTCTTTTGATCATTATTCCAAAACACATCAACTTTTGCAATTAACTCTACACCTATGCAATACCAACAATCTTTCAAAATGTACCTTTTTCCAATTTTGACACATGAGCTTTACAATTAATCCACACATCCATGCAATACCAACAATCTTGCAAATTAGACTTCACTCCTACATCAACAAATACTTTTTATTTTTCTAACAAACATATATCTTCATTATTTATAGTTACAAATATTAACATGATAGTTTGAATTTAATTAGTAATACAAAGTTATTGATTTGTATTTAATATAAAATTTTGTTTATATATAATCTAATTAGAACATATATATATATATATATATATATATATATATATATATATATATATATATATATATATATATATATATATATATATATATAAGTCTTGGTTTGTCTATCTCTTTATATGAAGAAGGGATGTGCATTTGGACCGAATATCTGAACCAGACCAACCTGAATTAGCACCGAATAAGTTATTTGGGTGGGTTCTCGGGTATCTATTTTAGTGCAATTTGAGTTTTGGGTCTTTCGGGTCGGTTTACCCAAATAACATCTAATTCGGTTCTAGAAACCCGAACCGAACTTGAAAGGTCATATTTTCCAATCCTATTTTCCCTCGCACTCCAACTCTACGCCCTAAGCTACCGAACGACATCTTCAACCCCTCCTTCTGTTATCGACGATTCACAACGAGAAAGAAAACCCTACTAGCCGATGTCGACCTCACTTCTCTACTTCAAAATCGATCATTCTCCAATCTCGATCCCTTTTCTAGTGTTGATCCTCCATCTTGTTTGCAAAAATCGTCCCTTCCTTCTTGTCTCTAAGGATTCACGAATTCATATTTTTTCAAGTAATGGATAATTGGGTTCCAAGTCAAGAGACTCAAGTAAGTATCATTATTTTAATCTACTATTTAAATTCAGTGTATTTAACTTTTGAATGTGTTATGTTGATGTATAAAAGTACATTGCTATTGAGTGCCATTTTCTCTCTTTGTTAGTGGATTGGAACTATCATACATGCATGTTAATGTAGTTTGTTCGATGTGGCTGTTTTTTCAGCTTTGTTACGATTTTTTTGTTATTAAGTGTGTTATGTTAATGTACCACTTAAATGTGTTGTGCTTTAGATTGACGATGAAGATGTTTTGGTTGATAACACTCAAAATGATAATAAAGAAGGAAAAGGTCAAACAACAAACAAGAAGAAAAAAAATGCCAATGTTTAATCTTTTTTTTCTTGAACTAGATATAACATTTCCTTATTTTGGTTATTCGGGTCATTTCAGTTTATTTGGGTTATTTGGGTCATTTCAGTTCCAAATCATATTGTACATGTTATTTCGGTCCTTTCAAGTTAATAATAGAATTGAAATGCATAATACCCGAATCGAACCGGTCTCGTATTAGTATAATCGGTCTGGGTTTCGGTTCCAACTTTTCATCGAATTCGGGTTTCGGCCCAAAACACAAAACAAACTTTAGACTTGGTAAACTTGTAATACTATGACATGATTCTATACTTTGCTAGTGTAACATTGTGATTTTTACCATAATTTTTAATTTTTTTAACAGAATACGTTAGCGAAGACTTGGTCATTTTTTTCAAAACATTTTAAAATCACCACGCTACTTCGAAATCGAAATCAAAAATTCAGACCATTTAAAACATAACAAAAGTAAATGTTCAATTTGGATAAAAACATCAAACGTGTCTAAATGGTATCATCTAATTAGCATAACTACCCATAAGCAACCCCTAAAGTCCAAACTTCTAAGCTGATTGCACCAATCATAAGGCACAAAAGAGAAAAGACACTAGTATCACCCACTGCTGAGTGAGTTAATAAAGGTTACACATAAAATATTCAAACCCCAAATGGGTCAATCATTCATTTTACGATGAAGAATAAAAATGATAGACAAATGCCACTTAGAAAAAAACCGCATATCATAATAATTCAATCACAAAATCAACCGCATACATGCATATATGTTCAACCACAATTCTACCACATAACATATATGATCAACTGAATACCATATAAAAAACCACATAGCATATAAATAATCACATTTTATATATAATCAACCTTTTATTAATAACCAACCTTTTCTTACATATTCAACCTTTATATTCAACCAACCTTTAGTTATATATTCAACCTTTTAATATGCAACCAACCTTTAGTTATTCATTTTGCCTTCTATTATATCTATCCACCGATTGACAGACATATATCGCTTAGTGCTACCTAACCCAAGAGAAACACATTGTTCACTACTTGTATGCACGTACAAATGAATTCTCTAAGTAACTCATGAGTTCCACCCGAAACACCAACCCCAAGACTCCAATTTCGCTACTCCGACTTTGAAAAGTAAAAGTACTTTGCGGTGTCATTAAATAATCGGTATAAACGGTGCCAAATCCACCGTAAAACCTCCCGACTCTCACGTGATGCCTGTATCAGCCACAGTTGAGGGACCAACATCACTCCAGCCCACGAACACCAAAGTGCCCGCAAACCATGTGTCGAACGGTAATCTAGAAAGACCGGAAAATAATAACCTCTATGGCTATAGCTTTTCCTATAGGTACTCTTTCAACCTGGTATGCATCCTCAATGATCCGGATAACGTTTTAGGCAAAGATCATCAACTACCCAAATCCTCTACACATAACCCCGCAATGTCATTTTTACATTAAGTAAAGCATGCAATTCATACCATCTCATTATGTATTAAAGCATGCAGTATATTCCTAACCAACAAATCAAAGCATAGCCATTTGTAATTCTTTCAAGTAACATAAGCTAGCATGTCATACACATCAAGTCCATCAAAGTGAAAGCAACATAGCAATTAACTCATAACATGGAAATATCACAAAGCATATAACAGAATCACACGTATCATATCATCATCAATCACAAGTAATGACATAGTCATCTTAAATTGAATCAAATTACCATCTATGGATTGCATGTTTCAATTATGCAACCTTAGTGATTTAAAACTAGAAACTCACCTCTAGCCTTGATGAAACTATCCTTCTACTCCAAGTCTTAAACTTACTTGAAGTTCTTAAGGCCTCACCTGAAAACCACACATAACAAGAAATTAACCAATGAAGTACATGTTTCAAAAATACAACTTTAATATTAACTTTTTATATATTTTTTATAATTTTCCAGTCCGACCCATGTTTAGTGTTTTTAGCATAAAAAAGAATATATCTCCAAATGAAATGATACCATGCTTTTTGGAAACTAAATTCGATTTCCAACAACTTTGTTATTGTGGTCATTTTGTCTAATTTGGCTCAGAATGGCCTCTACAACCCTAAAAGACAAATTAATAATTTTTTCCACCTTTGCAAGT